CCTCCCCCACCTAGAACCACCTTCCTCTCCCACCTGGGGCCAGCCTCCTCACTCATGTAGCACAGCTTTCTGCCCCGTCTAGAGTGGTTCCCCTCACCCACCACAGCAGGGATCCCCTGTCCAGACTGCCTCCCCTTGCCTATCTAGAACAGGATCCTTCACCCCTCTACCCCTGAATTTCCTCCCCCCCTAGAAGGGGGTCCCCTCTCCCACCTGTCCCGAGCCCCCTCACCTATCTAGGATGGGTTTCTCCTGCTCCTCCTCGGGGCTGGCGCTGCCCAGGATTCGTTTCCTGGCCTCGGCGTACTCCGCCTCCCTCTGTGCCAGGGACTTGACGGGGAAGGAGGGCCGGCTGGCCGAGCTGGGGTTGCTCAGCACCCCGTTGCTGGTCGGCCTCTTCAGGATGCGGATCTGGGGGGGAGGCCCTGCAGGAAGGCTGTCGTCCTGAATCACAATCGGCACTTTGGGAGGAGATTTGGACTTTCTGCTGTGAAAAAGGCAAAAGAAAAAACACCCCACAAGCAAATGGTTGGTCGGTGATTGGTTTCTAAGGAGCTTGTTTTCTTCTCGGGGTTTGGATTCCTCCTGGTGGGATGTCACTGCTGTGATTAAGAGGCAGGCTGTAGTAATTAAAGGCCTCGTTAGAGTTGTAATCCTAAGGCAGCACGGGGAGCTTGCTAAGGGATGGTGGCCCAGGCCCTGCTGCATTCTGCTTCCTTAAACTCGCCCACAGGAAGGGGAAGGAGACACTGGGCCAAAGCTTCAGTGCTTCCACTCGAAGGTATTGGTATCAGCACCTCAATTCACCAGCATCTCAGCCCCTGTGAGGAGTTTTGGGGCTCCTCTCACCAGGACACTCAGCCTTCTACTCCAGCCCTGCCACCTCACTGCTCAGAGCCAGCCTTGGGCCCCAGCTTGGTTTTCACAGTCCCTTCTCTGGGTGGAAGTCCCCAAGAAGTAATAAATAGCCTGAGTCTTTCAGTGGCCAGCTAAGAATCAAAGGGGAAGAAAAAAAACACCAACAAGAAGAGACTTGTTGTAAGCAATCAGAAATTCTTCTGCTGGCAGACAACAACACCCCCCCCTCTGACCTGGAGAGGGAAAGTCTCCCTGATGCAAGACCCACCAAGGCAATTCTGTGAGCTGGGATCACCCCACTCACCCACTGCTTCCTCTGAGAGTCTTTTGCTCAATGGCTTCCCCAGAGCTGTAGTCTGGAAGACCCAGCTCTGAAATAAAAGCACTCTCAGGAAGCTTTCTGCTGCCCTGCTGTGGATTGGAAGGGACATCTAGAGGCACAGTTAGCAAGGTTCCCTAGTTCTGAACTCAACCCCAGCCTGCCCTGCTCACTTCAAAGCTGTTTCCCCACTCCCCAGGCCTTCAGATCTCCAACAGCACCTCAGGAACACCAGGGGTTTTTTTAACCAGACCTCACAGCATCGTTACCTTTCCTTCTGTGTGATCTTCAGCTTCTTTTCCAACCGTCTGTCTATTTCCTAGAAAAGAAGGAGAGAAAAACAACAACTTGAAGGTTCATCTTGGAGACTGGAGTTTGCTGGTCTTGGCAGGCAGAGTCTGAGCCTGTCTGCACACAGATTTAACATCAGCTTCTCCATATGGTGATGCTACAAGGGGGCAGAGGGGATGTGTGCCTCCCTGGGAAGATGACCTGCAACCCAAGAGAGGCAGAGGAGGAGCAAAGCCACCACCTACATTCTACCCCAGCCACCAGCACACCTACAGCAGGCCGTGGACTCTGCCCGTTGCAGTGAGAGGGCAGCATTTTAAGGCCTTCATCTGGCAAGGGAGCTGTTAAGAGTCAAGAGCCACGGGCACAGGCAGTGAGGGATTCCCAGATCCGAGCAGGAAGGGTGCCAAAGCTCCTGGGCAGAGAAGCAGCAGCAGGAGGAGGCTGAGTGAGGCAGCTCAGCTCGGCAGCCTGGCCGGCAGGTCTGCATCCCTGCCACGAGAAACCTGGGGCAGCAGCAGGGCCCTGCCCTGCCCGGAGCGTGCCCGAGGACTCAGCAGAGCCTCTCCTCCTTCCCTCCACAGCCAGAGCTGCAGAGTCATCCCCTGAGCTCTGATTCACCCCTCCTGGCACAGCAGCTGCTGTCCCCAGCTCCCTGTCTGCCTCAGAGGTGGTTCCGTGTCGCCAGGGGAGGGATGATGGAGAGAAATTGCTAAAGCCAACCAAAAACTCAAAGGAAATCAAGGCAGCTCTCAGGCACGGGCTCTCCTCAGGTAACCTCCACCAAGCTGGCTGAGAACTTTAGATCCTCACGACTGCTGCTGCTGCTAATCAGAGCCCTGAAACGGCGACGTGGTCTATTTAATCGTTGAGGAAGAGGAGGGAATAAAACCTACCTGAGAGTGTCCTACTTCCAGCAGCCCATGGCTGGCAATACTGGAGGAAATTCCAAGCTCCTGGCAGGATGTGGCTGCTCTACTTTTCGGGCTGGTTTGCTTAAAGCTCACTGCCAGCAGAGCCTTACCCTGCTGTCCAAAGAGCCTGGTTTGCAGGGAAGGAACACAGATCTCCAGGAGATGCCAAACCACTCAGCTACACGGGCTGAGAGCCCACAGCAGCTCCCATCTAGGAGGGAATAGTTATGAACCATCTGGGGGAGCTAAAATGTGGGTGGGAGGTTGAAATTTTCTGCCAGACTCTGTAGGGGGAGGCGACAGGGGGATCTGTAAGAATCTGGGGCTTCACGTGGTGCTGAGCTCCCTCCTGTTTCCCTCCTGGTCTCCATCTTTGAGAGGGCTGGGAGGAAAATCCCCTCCCCGTGCTGCTCAGGTGGGCAGAGGAAGCCAGGCACCAGCTGCCTCCTGCCCACAGAGCTGGAGAACAGCCAGGCAGGAATGGGCAGCTGGAGAAGGCCTCCAAGAGCAAGCCCAAGCAGCAACCCAACGCTCCCATGACCACTAAACCATGTCCCCAAGGGCCACGTTCAGACTGGTTTTGAACCCCTCCAGGGCTGGGGACTCCAGCACCTCTCTGGGCAGCCTGGGACAAGGCCTCACCACTCTGCCAGGAAAGAAATTCTTCCTAAGATCCAATCAAAACCTCCCCTGGAGCAGCTTAAACCCATTTCCTCTTCTCCTGTCGATGGTTACTTGGGAGAAGAGACCAACCCCCACCTTACTCCCAGCTCCTTTTAGGGAGTTGTAGAGAGCAAGAAGGCCTCCTCCCCCCCCTCATCCTCCTCTTCTCCAGACTAAACCCTCCCAGGTCCCTGACCTGCTCCTCTGTGTTCCCCAGAGCCCTCCCCAGGTTCCTTGCCCTTCTCCAGACCCACGCCAGCCCTTCCAAGTCCCTCTTATCCTGCGGTGCCCAGAACTGACCCCAGCACTCAAGCTGTGGCCTTGCAGAGTGGCTGGCAGCAAGCAAGGGAAGGCAAGTCAAGGGGAAGGAGTGAGCTCATCTGCCCACGCCGTGCCAGAAGAGACATCCAGCTACAGGAGAGTCTTGGGAACACCTTTTCTGAACCCCAATAACTCACCACGCCTCCTGGAAGCGTCGGGCGAGGAGGAAACTTCCCTAAAGCTGCCTCATTAACTACTTCAGAGGGATGGCAAGAAGACAGGGCAGGGGAGGCACACTCAGGAGCATCTCCAGTCCCTTTGCTCAGCTGTTTGTGCAGAGAGGTGCTGGCTGTGAGTCAGAGCCCAGGCAGGCAACCCCGACAGCCCCCCGAGACCACCCCGAGGTGCAAAAGCCCCACAGTAGCCACAAAGGTGGGTCTGGTAGCCAGGAGGAAGGTTCCCTCCTGCTCTCACCTCTCTCCTCCCCATTGGAGGAGGGATGGCTTTGACCAAAGCTGCATTTCTACATTCCTGGTGGCTTCCCAGGGCTGAAGGAGCCGCCAGGAGGTCGGACACCAGATCCTGTAATTGGGAAGCATCACTCTGACCTCAGCACCTGAAAGACTCTGGTGAGTGTGACTGTCACAGGGACTGTCCCAGGGACTCCCAGCAGGGCTGCACAGGGCTCTCCACACCCTCACACCCCCCACGCTTCCTCCAGCTGCACCCTCTGACCCCACAACCTGCAGCTTCCCCCACCAGGAATAAAAACACCCTGGATTTCTTTCATTCACTCAACACACACAAACTTATTCCAAGGAATCCTTCAAACTCTGCCATCATGATGCCCCTCCCCAAAGGAGCCCTTTACAGTCTCCACTTCCCTCCTTCCTACTCCTCTGCAGACCACTGCTGCCAAAATACTGGGTATTTTTGCCTCTCATGCCTCTGGAGTCAGCAGCACTGAGGGAACACGTGTGGTTCTGCTTCCCAAGCCTCCACTGGTGGGCTCAGAGGCTGCTCTGAGCCTGGGGAGCTCCTCACCAGGAAACAAAGCAACAGGCAGCAAAAACAACCTCCAAGTTCTACCATCAGCAGCTGCTGGGGCCACCGTGTACTCTCCGAAACAAGAGGCTTCCTCCACACGTAGAAATCCTGGCAGAATGACCCAAAACAAGCATCCCCACCAAGCAGACACTGATCACCCTCACCCCAGCCCAACAGCTCATCACCCCTGGTGCTGCTGAGGGGATTCCAGCTGCCTCCAGACACCCACCCAGCTCTGGGGCAGAAAGAGTCTAATTCTGTGTCCGAGGTGGATGGCTGGAGATAAAAAAGCAGCTCCCCACCTCACCAAGGCATCAGAAGCTGGGTTGTCTTTTGAAAGGGAGGTTTTTTTAACCCTGTGTTTTCTCAGTAAAAGCCACAGAGCCACAAACTGCCAGGACTACGTTTGGCATTGTAGGTCTGAGGGGTTGGAGTGTGAAGAGCTTTGCCAATCCAAGTGGGCAGCCCTTCATCCCTCTGGGAAAACAACCCCAGGGTGCTGGCAGGCTCCTGATGGGCGTCAGCAGTCTGTGAGCAGAAACACCTCAGCAGGGCTGCTTCTGGAGATAAAACCCCCCCTGCTGCTGGTCAGCTGCTGATGGCCTTCCCCTTCCACTGAGCTGGGGGGGTAAGGAGGTAAAATTAGGCCCTGACTCAGAGGACAAGCCCCAGAAGCTCTGCAGCAACCCACAGGCAGGAGCAGCAGTTAGATTTGGGGCTGGAGGACCCAGGAGCTGGGCAGGTCACGCTGTACCCAAACCAGTTATTAATCTTCTTAGGAGGCTCTCTGAGCTTTTCTTGCCCAAACCATCTTATTTATGTAACCCAAACCTAAGCCTCATTTACACCCTAGATGAGGAAAGAATCTCCACAAACTATTTTTAGCACTATTATGTCTGGATCCCAAAAGGGCTCCAAACAAACAGCCCGAAGAAGAAGCTGTTCTTTGACATTTAAGCTGCATTTGTAGACGAGGACGTCACGGAAACTCAACCCCAGCCCCATCACAGCCACCCCTCCTACCCCTGAACCCTGAGAAGAGCATGAAAGGGTTGAGAAAACCCCTCTTGGGAAGCTCACAGAGACACAACCCTGCAACACCCTGACAGTTTCTCACCCTAAGTGAGAATCCCACTGATAGAGTTGGTGATTTTGGAGATGTTCTTGGGGAGCTGGAGATCCAGGCCCTGCCCAGACACGCCACAAGTGTCCTTCAGGGTGGGATGTCCCTGCAGAGCTCAGCTCCAAAGGGTTTCAGGGATCCATGTGGGGTCCAGGCACGCTCCCAAGGAGGAGTTTTGTTGGGGGAACTGTAACAGGTTGGGCACATATAAAGAATCCTCCTCCCACTGCTGCCAAAGTCTCTCTGAAGAGACCAAACAGCAGCAGCTCCAGGCTCTGCTGATACAGGGAGAGGAACAGCAAGAGAACTGCTGGCTCTTTTTTCTGTCAAGTCTAGTGAGCAACCACAACTGAATGTTTGAAGGAAGGCAGAGGCGTGGGCTCCACACCTTATGCTAGGGAGAGTATTTCCCCCAGTACCTCCAAAATTCAGTGATTTTGCAGGAATTGAGAGGAGGAACCCAGCAGGGCAGAGCAGGGGACAGGCCCCAGTACAGGGAGCTGGGCTCTCTGAGGGCTTTGAGAGCAGTTCAAACACACAGCTCTAGAAAATCATCAACCACATTCTTTGCTGTATTTACCAGAGATTACTCCCCACCTCAACCTTCTGCCCTGGCTCTCTCAAACAACAGGCAAGATCAAACCCAGACCAGAGGGCACCGAGGCCAGAGCTGCATCCTCCCATGCCAAGGTGAGGAACAAAGCCTCAGCTGCTGATTCAAAGCACCCTCAGCTGCTCTGGCATCTGCTAAAGCTCTGGAGATAAAGTTCAAGGGCTGGTTAACGTTCTCTTCTTCAGCAGAAACAGATTTTAACATCAGAGCTTTCCAAAGCTGTTCATGGGGATCCAACAGTAAAGCTGCAGGTAGTGGCCCAGCAGGCTTCCCAGGGCAGTGGTGTATTCCCCACCCCTGGAGGGGTTCCCAAGCCCTGGAGATGTGGGGTGAGGGACACGGGGCAGTGGGGCCCTGGCAGTGCTGGACCTTAAAAGTCTCTTCCCACCAGAAGGATTCTGTGATTC